GTAAACACCAGTCCTTAATAGATATTTCACTAAATGTACTACTGAATACAAATGATACAACTTATCTGGTTATTAAACACTATTATTACGATTCTAGTTTCCATCCTCATTGTTTTGTAGATAATAAGTAAATGAGAGAATACATTCACTGGCAAAGCTAAATAGTTAGTTAGTTAGTTAGTAAGTCTACAGAATACTATCTGAAGGCAACTTGTAGCTTCTGTTGAAAACTGAAAAATGGATGTCTTTGTCTTATATACTTGATATTCACATATTAACAAAGTATAGAAAAAAAAAAGAAGAATAGACCCTGAGACCTTTTTCTTTCTACTACTTATCTCCATTGGTATAAAAGTCAGTTAAAAGAGACCGAAACAATAGCAGTATTCACATGATCCGTCTTTGTACTTTAAATAAAAATAAAAATTAATTCTATACACAATATTCTTGTTTAGCTTTCAGCAAAAATAACCAACCTATTTATTTGCTAACAGACTTTTTCGTAAATGTGTCCACAAGTTTCAAAATGTTTCTTTATACATGATATTTGACAATTTTCAAACAAAAGTGAAAATGAAAATGTTGAAATAGCACTAAGCGGCCTAAATAGATAAAAAGTATGATTGCATTTTGTAATTGTCCACGTATCAGCCTTATTTCCACCTCAAATATCCCTCCGGCATTTATGCTGCACCTTACCAATATCCCTTGTGCTATACTGATAGGATGATCAGGTTTCGAACTAATGACTGAATACAGAAGACTTTTCCTGCAGCAACTCTAAGAGTGATATTCTCTAGCCGCCCACTACTTCGGAGCAACGGGAAGGAAAGACTTCCGCATATGACCACTACAATGCTCATATATCAGTTCACCTGCTCGTGCGGAGCTAGGTGCATAGGTCGTTCTATGCGGGTCTTATCAAAACGTGTTAGAGAACATCATCCAGCATGGCTGCAAAGAGGAGGCACTGGTTCATTCAGAAGCGCCATAACTGAACACCTCGTCAATACCTATCACAGCATCTCAACTGACTTATCATTCAGAGTCATTTACAAAGTGAACAAAAATCTATCAAATGCAGTGTTTTCGACTTCTTTGTACTGCGGAAGCTCTCGCCATATGCATCGAAAAGCCGGAGCTGTGTGTTCAAAAGAAACTAGTCCAGCCTTTACAACTACCGTGGACCTAGTTCGGTATGTTCCCTTATCCTTCAGTTTTTTGTTTTGTTCTCTGTGTGTGTATTTTTCTCTCTTTGTCTTCATTCAATTCACCCCACTTTTTCCAGTTATAAAATCAGTTATTTTAATTTTGTGTCCATGCTCCTCCTGATCACACTTGCAATCCGTTTAGAATAACCATTTTACGATTATATTCTAATACTGTGTAATTTTTTTTGTTTCTATACCTCTTGTCATCTATATTCGCACCTCCCAACTTACATTTCAAGTTGAAATTTTGATTTCAATTTGTTTCCATGCTCATTTTGTTCACACCTGTAATCCGTCCTATCCCTGCGTAATTTTTGTTTCTAAGCCTCTTGTAATTCATATCAAGTTGAAAATAATTATCACCTTTTATTCGCCTTTAAAATTATTTCTCCAGTTATCAAATATTAATTTTGCATACGTTGTAACTGTTTCTAATCCTATGCAATCTTGTCTCTAAGCCCCTTGTAATCTATATTCGTACCTTCAAACTTTCATATCAAGTTGAAAATTATTATCTCCTTCGTTACTATGTGGAATTAATTAAATAATAATTGTATCTATGTAAACTAATGTATATAAATGCGATTGTAAAGCTGCTTTTGAGAATGAAATCGCCGAAAAGATCGTCATCTTTGCTGAACTTCTTGTTCTTTTCCCTCTGATGTCCCGATGGGTATTTTCCACGATTCCAGAATAATATACACATAGTGAGATCCGACATTTCTAAGCTCGGTCCAGCAATGATGAAAAGTCTTGAAATGAAGCAAAACAGTTAACCAGTATTCTTTGTTTTCTAGTGGTCTTCTGGCTGGTGTCCATTCATGATAAAAAGTTCTAAGAGATCGTTCAATTCCTCTGAAACTTTCTGTCAGAATAACACTTCAAAGTATGTAATTTAAAGTGCGATATCTATCTATCTATCACTGTTCAACAGCTTGATAGCTGAAACCAACAAGTGAAGGTATATGTGCCATATTCTTTAGCTTATCACTCCTCTCTTTTGCTTTTGTCGCAGCTCAATTCGAAAACTTATTCTATCAGCTGAATGACCTTACTCCAGTTGATGAGGACAAGAAGAGCTGGTTCAAATCTAAGCTGGTCGACGCTGCAAATCAATACCTCATTTCACCAAAGTCATATTCTAAAATCCTCTCTGAATAGCATGAAAAAGCACTGAAAGCTCTCAGAAATAATGACGAAATCGTCATACTGCGACCTGACAAAGGCTCAGGAGTAGTGCTGATGGACAGAGATGACTACATCGCAAAGATGAAAACTGTGCTGAATCAGCCTTTGAGCTTTAAAGTCGACGACTGCCAGAAAGACAAGACCGATGCAGCTGAAAAACGCATCACAAACGTACTGAGAGATCTACTAAAGAAGAAACTGATTGACAACGATACATACAATGAATTGAAACCCCGAGGGTCTCGTTTACCACATATGTTTGGCCTTCCAAAGACACACAAGCAGGAAGTCCCTCTGAGACCTATACTTTCGATGGCCAACTCAGCCCAACATTAGGTTGCGTGTTGGTTTGCGGAGAAGTTGGAACCTGTTCGTCGATGGCTAGCCACCCACACCATGAAAGACTAATTTCATATAGCCGAAAGTGTGAATCACATGAACATTTCAAATATGTTCATGGAGTCATTTGATGCAACCTCCTTGTTCACAATGATCCCAATCAATGTAACCATTGAGATCATTTGTCAGCAGTTTGATCTTCACGCACTACCATAGTCGGAATTCAAACGCCTACTGCTTATGTGTACCATGGATGTGTAATTCCAATTTGATAGCACTCTTTACCGACAAGCAGATGGTGTAGCTATGGGCAGTCCACTTAGTCCTGTTTCAGCAGATACCTTCATGTCAAACCTTGAGAAAACAAAGTTGAGGCATGCAAGTGACGAAACAACTTCCTATTGTCGATATGTCCATGACACATTTGTAGTGTGCAACAATGAAAGTCATGCTTCCTACCTACTCAGATTATTCAACGACGCACAACCAAATATTGAATTTACTATGGAACATGAAAATGATGGAAAGTTCCATTTCCTTGACATTGCCATGCAACGCCTAGAAGATGGTAGTCTCCAGAGGTCAATTTACCGAAAGATGACATGGAACGGACAGTACTTACATTTTAATAGTTTTGTCCAAATAGCTATAAGCGAGCACTAGTCAAGACTCTGTACTATAGAGCTAGGATAATATGCTCTGCAGAGAAATTACAGAAAGAATTTACGATTCTCGAAAAAGTGCTGAAAAACAACGGTTATCCTCAAAGATTCATTAACAAATATGGAAGATGTGAAGGCTCAAATACCAAATAAATCACAGTTGAAAAAAAGCCTGTCTTCATTCAAATAGATTTTGAAGGTGATAATATTGCAGCAATGGTCAACAGAAAACTGAGAACGTCAGTAGGCAGAGCCTATCCTGCAGCTAAGTTGGTTTATGTCCGTCGAAAAACATGCTCTTTGGTGTAGTCAAAAGTCGACATATACCCTTCTCGTTTTAACTCCAACTGTCTATACAACTTTACGTGTATCTGCGGCAGCATTTACATTGGGAGAACAGAAAGAAGAGCACACACCCGATTTTCTGAACATGTACCGAAAAGCCTACGTCTCAAGGGAACAAACTCTTATAATAGCGCTATTATCAGACATCTCCTCGATACGGGTCAGGAGGTGGAAATTGCGAGATCCTTTAAAATTATCAATAGACAAAGGATCTCGATTCTACTCAAGTTTGCCGAAACAATTTCTGTCAAACGCTTGAAACCAGATTTATGTGTTCATAAAGAAGCAGTTATTAGTCTTTCCTTGCCATAGTAACTGGATGTCTTTGTTTTCTCTTTCTTTCGTTCGCTTGATTACGTAATCTTTGGCTTTAACCTTGTAGTGGTAAATAATTCCCCAAAATTGTTGACCACAATAATCATCACTGAACATTGCATGCTGACCCTCACTGTTTAAGTCGACTTGTTTAGCTGAGGGCTTCCGGTCAAGCATCCATGCCATTTGGTACTCCATCGTGTCACGTTCGTGCACGATCACTAGCCAGCTAAGCATTTACCTCAGTTCACGATTTGGTCCCGAAATATATCTCTTAGTTTGACGATTAACTCTGGTCTTTTGCTTTGCCTTTGGTCCACGAGGAACGAATACTATAGAAGTTGTTGGTATAAGATCTCGCGTGAGTATACTCCGTACAATTCGCGAACGTCAACACCGTCAGCCTCTAAACTGGTGAGCCCACCCGCGGACTTCATCTTTGGTAAATACACAGACAAATCCGGTGAGTTCGTTTCATTTTGTATTTTTTCCTGCACTGTTGTTAAACTATATATATTCCGGTATGAGTGATCCTAATCCTAAGGTCATTCGTATTCGCTCAACTGCCAAAGCCATTCAGCTCGTATCATTTTGGCCAAATAATGCTGAAACATGGTTTCAGATAACTGAGTCTGATTTTTGTGACCATGGGATAACTGATCAACTTTCACAGTTCCTCGCAGTTATTCACGCCCTACCGCCGGAATTCAGCGAGTGCGTAACTGTGCAGATGTCGAGACCAGAGGTAAGATCTTGCGTTAGTATACTCCGTAGAATTCGTGAACGTCAGTACCATCAGCCTCCAAAAACTTATCCGTTTATACTTAACTGAAATATAGTTTTATTAATATTTAAGGGAGGTGCGTGGCTTATTTGAACGCTGAGAAGTTAACTGCTCTAACAAAACATACAATACAATCGTATTTGTAAATTTACCTACCTGAAAATCTAAAGCTTCCTTATATGCTGATTGATTCAATAATTTACTCTGAAACATTTGTTTCTTATGATTCTCTAATTCTTCTGTTAGTTTACTTTGTTCCAATTTGTCTAAATAAAGCTCCTTTTCCTTCAAACGATTTGCATCAGACAAGTGTTTTTCAACTTGATGATCAAGTTCAGTTCTTGAAAAAAAAACAAATCAAAAAGACAAGAAAAAATGTTTTGACAAATAACGTTGGTAGTTATAGCTGAGGGATGGAACTCACGTTGCAAGAAAATTCGATCCTGAGAATTTCAGGTTACTTTTGTGACCAGTCTGTTAGATGGATAAATAAGACAGGAGAGGTGGGAGTGTGTTGCGGACAAATCTCAACACTGATTTAACTTGTTCTGCTTAATTTCCATTTTGAGTTTTTCTGGGCTGTATACCACTAGAAGTAAGGGGGTGCTGCAGCTACACTAAACATACTTGTTTGATTATGATTGCTCATTGGAAATGTCTGAAATAACTGCATTGTACCTGGTATCATCTGGTGATCAACAAAAATACCATTAACAGTTCGATATTGGACAATCTGGTGCAAACCGACCAGCGAAAAAGCCAGCCAGCGTGGAAGAATCCTTCTCTATCATCTACCGGATGCCCAGAAACATCGAAGCACCGCATGCTCCAAACAGCAGAGGCTATTGCAATTCGCCTCAAACAACCAGTGCTGTGTGTTCAGAAGAAGCAAGTCCAGCTAGGCACTACTACTGCCCTGGCTGACCTTCAGTCGAGACTATAAATTCATGAATTTGTAATATTATACTTCCTAATTTTTCTGACATTCAGCCTATTGTTATGTTGATGCTACTGAGCCGTAATCTATCAACATTATTGACTTCATGTTATTTATTATTATTATTACTGTTCCCCTGGGTTCCTAGTACAACATAGGGCTTCAACTACACGTCTCCACTTGTTTCTGTCTTCTGCTGTACTTTTCACCCGAATCCATGTTAGTCCATACTGTTTCAACTCCTCTTCACATGATCTCTCCCATGTCACCCACACTTGGACGTCCCACTCGTCGCTTCCCTTTCGGGTTCCACTCGAGTGATGGCCTGACGTGTGATGTCACCCAACGGCCTCCTCAGCGAGTGTCCAATCCATCTCCACTTTCCCCTGCATATTTGGTTGGTTTGGCGATTGGTTCTTGTTTTGTTTGTTTCTTCCCATAGTTTCTTGTTGGTGATTCTTTCTGGCCATCTGATCTTCAGTATAGAGCGAAGACAGTTGTTGATGAAGGTGTGCAACAGGCTGTTGGAAATATTCTTTGTGACTCGCCAAGTTTGTAATCCGTATAGAAGAACTGACTGACTTGACGTTTGTATTGAAAATCCGAATCACTTTGTTGTTGATGCTGAGTTGAGTGACGAAGATTTCCAGATTGGTTTCAGGTTGATGAATGTGTTTCTCGCCTTCCCGATTCTCGATTTGACATCCTCATCCGTTCCAGCTGCCTGTAGTTGAGACAATGCTCCCTAGATAAGTGGATAAAGTAACCTCTTTCAAATCCCTCCCGTTGATGGTGATTGGCGTTGGATGTTGCTGCTGCAAAAAAGTGGGTTATTTAAACAACATTAATGTTGTTCATAACACTAACTCATCCATTCACTATAATGTATATACAAATGTAGAGCCTGATAATGAAGTTATCGAAAAGAGTACTCTTTGTTCAGTATCCATTCTTTTGAAAAAAGTTATTATTCCACTTATCATTGTGACGGTTCATCTTCCTATGAAGCTGAATCACGATAAAGTTAAATCTAAACCTGCATGCAATTCATAGAATTTATTCTTCTTTAACCATTTGCATATTGCCGGAGGTAAATAACAGACTCAAATAGTAGTGCACTTATAAATAAACGAAGGCACATCATATATATATATATATATATATATATATATATATATAAGATAACTATTATTTCACTTAAGTGCAAATTTATTTTAGTGTTTATCTGTTTAACTGAAATAACTGATTTGTTTGACTATTTAGTTGGACTTTTTGACTCGATTCTTGGTCTTTCAAAGAACTATACAGAATCAATAATTCCACTGTTAATCGATTAGCAACAAGAACCACTCTAACACAAGCTTTGTTTAGCCTCAGTGTCTCTCTCTAATTAATGCGACTCCTACGCCTAATACATGTGCGCATTTTGAACAAGTTTATGAATGCAATTACGAAATCACTTCCACTAAGTTGAACTGTATTTGCTCGACATAACTTTATAATAGGAAGATATGATTTTTCTTAGTATCCAAGCCGTGATTTATGCCGTCTCGAAGATTTCATTTGGGTAATATACACTTCCATGCAGAGCATCTGGCGCGTCACGAAGGTGTTTTATTACACTGGAGACAGCTCATCCGTGGCTTTTGAGATAATTTAACAAACTCATCGACTAATTCCAACATGTCAGTTCACTAGGGACTTGATTTTATTTACCATAGGATTGTCTTAACTGGTCTGGATACCGACGTTTACCAAAATGATCACCTGATAACATTTTCCTTGTATTGTTGTTTCAGGGATGAAAATACCATGTTACTTCTATTCCCTTTGAAAATGTAAAGTAACCCTTTCTCATGCAGGATTATTGGATTTTAAATTGAAAAAACATTACTTATTTATCCAAGCGATGGCGAATCCAAATAATTCAAGTATTGGTTTGTAGGGATTTGGTTGATTAGTTACAGAATTTCATGATGAGCTGACATCAGTTAGAGAACCACTGGAAAACCTGGGAGTAATGGTCAGCTGTTTTATCCTAGTTTGGGACTCTTCATCAGTACGCACCCGCCGGGGTTCGATGATGAAATCCTGTAACCAATCAACCGAATCCCTACAAACCAACACTTGAATATCAATGTGATGCTCACTAGCGACTTGCCCTATTCAGGTAGGTAGTTACTTGGGGTTCTAGTGAGAAGTCATGACTAGTAGGGTGCAGCAGGTCGGGTGTGAGGACAAATTCTCGCCGAAGACATTGGCTAGGGGACTCGCTATGTCGTGAATTGGCAGAAGTTAGAATTCATGTGCTGGCCATTGGACCGAGTCCCAGTGGCTTAATGGTATACGAGCTCGCTAGGCTTGTAACCAGAAGGTCCTGGGTTCGAACTCTAACGATGGATGTGTACTGCTGAAGAGTCCCAAACTAGGACGAAACAGCTGTCCAGTACTCCCTGCAGGTTTCTCATTGGTTCTCTAACCGATGTCAGCTCATGATGAAATCCTATAACGAATCCAAATAAATTTTGTAATCTCACATTTCCGTAAGACAACCGTTTCTCTTCTTACTAAGATGCTGAATATTTATGCAGCTTGGCAATGTAAGTAATTGAGCTACACAGCACAAATTTATAGACGTCCAAGTTGCTATGCCTCATCACCTACAAAATAAAGAATGAGGAAATAAAATGCACAGAGACTATAGTAAATTGGAATCTACGAGAGAATGATAAGGATTTATTGTGGCTGGAAGATCACAGCTATTGGATATAACGATTTCGAGCCATGTCACTAACAGTCTCCAGCAGCTGGTTCTTAGAGTCTCGAGGAGCCAAGCCAAGTATTCTACGCTTCCCCTAAGCGCCCTGTGCAATCCAGCAGTCATAGGCCTTACTTAATGATGGCAGGTTTCAGTTTGACTGCCCTTAACTATTTTCCAATCTTGTCCTACACCAGATGGCACTGCTTGACTGGGAATGCTATGGCTTGGTATAGGTAACACTTGTCCTAACTATCTCAATCGATGCGGCTTCACAGTCTGACACACTGGTCTCCCTTCAAACCTAACAGTCTTCACTCAACCCCAGTATTAATCGCCACACTATACTACTTGACAGAAGAGACAGAAGGTGAACACTGGTGATCGAAAACAGCTAGCCTCTTCATATCTCACAACAGTTCGGAACGATGAAGCGAATGCATCCTTTCAGCGATAGCCAGGGATCTTGTTTACGCCGGAGATGACATAAGTTAGAAAATGCCACACGAACCTGTTGTGCCAGTTCTGAGATTTCGTTAATAGTCATCTGGTTAGGGCCGAAGTAGCTTCCAACATAATTGAATTAGTCACTACACTCTGCTACGTCCCTCCCAATGCTTAAACTAGAAGTCAGTGCTCACCAGTTCTGTAGCATCACCTTACATTATACAGGGGCGAGTTCTATGCCACACATACCAAGGTTTCTTTTCAGCGCCTCCATTTAGAAGAACTACATCACCAGAGAAGTCTGAACCGATGAGATTGTTCATTGCTAATAAATCAATCACTAAGTCATTGGAGTAGATTAGGCTGATATCTACTAGTACATCTTAGTACATCAAACAAAACTGGATAAAACAGGCCTCCATCACTTCAGACGACAACTGTCCATAAGCTCTTATACAGACGAACAAATTCGAGTAGAGTGCCTTGATCAATGTGACACCATTTTCCGGCACTCCCTTCACGGCTAAACATTGCCACAGTACTTCGCGTTCGAAGCGGCCAAATGTCACCCTTTTGTCAATACATATGGTAAATGTTGGAAGCTGGTGAGTATGCCTGAACCTCTCGAATGATGGGTATGTGACTAGTGTTCAGTGTGAATGACTACTTAGTTCTCACTTTAATTTGAAAGATTTTGTAGATGACTGACACTCGGTAGACGTGTTTTCTATTGTAGTACGAACCACTGACTGAACACACTGGCTATACTGTTAAAAAAATAAGAATATTAGGTAAAAACGATTAAAGTAAAAAATGTGTCCCCTATATATTTTATAAAAGCTGCAAAAGTATTCACTGACAAAAGGAAATTGGAGTTATTTTATTCAAAGTAACTCACTTTAATTCATTCTGTTTAATCTGACGTAGTGGTGTTGGAGGTCTTTTGTTTAGAATAAATGTTTCATAGTTTGTTGGATCAACATATGACTTTTTCAACTGTTTGGCACAGGCAACACCCATATTATAAGCAGCTTGTTTGCACAATTCACTACGTCTGTTGAGTAAATTTTCCTAAAACGAATACAGTTAAAAAAAACAGTGATTTAGGTGACTATTCTTACTCTGAGAACTACATATATAACATCAAATATATTTTCTCTTATCTTACCAGATATGTCTTACAGTTGTCAGGTGTCTACTAGTGCACACAGTATAAGATAACAGTGAGTAAGTGATTAGTGCTGGCTAGCCACGCACGTGGTCGGGGATTCGGCTCTCCGGCTGACGCATTCTCAAACTTCTCCTAGCTTGCTAGCCGGTAGTGAGTCAATAGGATGGGGGAAGTGTGGACGTGAGGCTAGCATCCCCACCCTGTAGAACCCACATCAGTGCTACTGGAACTTCGAAACTTGAGCCCATACGTCATCCTCAGAACTCAAAGGAAATGGGGAAAAAAATAAAACATGGAAAAGTGTTACACATATTTTAATGGGAACTTAGACTTTGCAATGAATAATGTCAAATTACTATGCTTTTTACTGCCGCTTATTTTGCTATCAAGCATCCCACTGCCTTTCACAAAAGTCGGAATAAATTAGTGGAGACGTTTTTCAGAATAATTCTTCTTGTGATAACAGTCAGAAAGCCTCAGGAATCCAAACATGATTGGGAAGTCATCTTGTGCCTGTCAGAGTTCACTGTGCACAGTTTATTAAAGCCAACATAAGTTACAATAGTCATAAACATGAACTGGCAACGGTGAAGAAAAAGCCTCTGCTTTTACGTCTTCAATTCAAAAGGGATACTCCTGCGGAGATTCTATCGCAACGTTTAACCAGGGCGATCAAGAAAACTTTCCACTCTGCACGTCTGTGTCTATCCTTCAGAAGCCGTCCAGTGTTCACCCAGCAACTCAAAGATGTCTTACTTAACCTTAGCTCTTCTTCATGCATATACCATTTCAACTGTTCCTGTGGTTCAAGTTACATAGGGCGCACGATTAGGCAGGTTCATCTATGGGTTCGAGAACATTTACCAGCTTGGTTTATCAGGAGGGGGGAATTAAGTGCATAAACAGCTCGATCCTGTCACAATTGGTCAATACTGGACATCGCATCGATGTCAAGGCAGCTTTCAGGGTTATATACGGACTATATACGAAACCAATTGGTTTTGCTGTTAAGCACTTGAAAGTTAGAGTGGCAATTGATGAAAAGTGTATACTGTGTTGGAGATAGTCCCACTTCGCCCCCCCCCAAAAAAAAGAAATGTGAATGTCACTCATCTACACGAAGACGATATGGACTTAAGTTATGCTGAAGATCAAGCGATGAAGAGAATTATACAAATCACACAAACAAAATCGAATTAGAAGCCTTATCTCTACGATTCAAGTTTCACGTCCCCAAGAAGCAGATCAGTCGTATAGATACAGAAGAACAATTCGAACACTTATACCATCAACTCTACGACCTGTAACCCTTAGATGAAGATAAAAGAGGATGGCTAAAGTCTAAACTTGTTGATATTGCTAACCAATACCACATATCGCCAATGGAGAAGCAGAAGATGCTGAGCGAAGAGCATAGAATAGCTCTGAAGAAACCATATGAGAACGACGAAATCGTCATATTTAGACCTGATAAAGTCTCTGGGGCTGTTATAATGAACAAAGTTGATTATATTCATAAAATGATGACAATTCTAAACGACAAAGAAAAATTCTAATTAGACAACAAAAAAGATGCCAGAACGTCGTTTGAAAATAAAGTAAATAAATGTCTCAAAGAACTTCTAATGAAGAAACTAATCAACAGCGAAACATACAATAAACTGAAGTCAAAAGGTGGACGCCTGCCGTCTATGTATGGCCTACCAAAAATCCATAAAGCAAATGTGCTTTTAAGACCAATCTTGTCAATGATTGACTCACCATGCCACAAGTTAGCTCGATGGTTAGCTGATTCTATAGAGCCAATTCGAATTAAATTCGCATCTCATAGCCTGAAGGATGGCTACCAATTTTCCAAGGAAGTTGACAATATTGACATATCAGACAAACTGGTGGTATCGCATGACGTGACCTCCTTGTTTACAAACGTACCACTGATGAAAACGATTGATATCATTTGTAAACAAAGGGATCTACTACCATTACCCGAAACAGAGATGAAGCGACTACTGCTGCTCTGCACAAGAGATATACAATTCAAATTCAACAATCAACTCTACCGACAAATTTATGGGGTCGCCATGGGTTCACCTCTGGGACCTATCCTGGCTGATATCTTCATGGGCTACCTTGAACAGACACAACTAAGTTCTGCTATCAATGGAACAACCTAATATCGCCGATATGTTGATGACACATTTGTTGTTTGCAACGAAATGGATCACGCATCGGCATTATATGATCGCCTAAATGAGATCCATCCAAATATCAAATTCACCATGGAATATGAACGTAAAAATGAGTTTAATTTCCTGGATCTAAATGTAAAAAGAACAAACGAAGGCATGATCGAAAAGTCCATCTATAGAAAAAAAACCTGGACTGGACAATACCTTCACTATAACAGCTTTTGTCCCATAAGCTATAAACGTGGATTAGTTAAGACTTTGTGCGATAGAGCAAGGAAGCTATGTTCACCAAACAAGGTTGAAGAAGAACTAGATTTCGTCGGGAAATGCCATGAGGGAAAATGGATACCCTAAAGGTTTTACACAGACGTATAGCAGAGCAAAAGATAAGAAGGAAAAGCATCCCACTGTAGAAAAGAAAAAAGTGTTTATTTGTCTCCCATTCAAAGGAGATGCAGTGTCACAAAAGATTGACAGAAGACTGAAAGGAGCAATAAGTAGAAGCTTCCCGGCAGCAAAACTCATAACAGTATACAACACCACTCCTTCTATAAGCCACTCAAAACTGGATAAATACCCTGCTGATGTCACCTCCAACTGCGTTTATGAATTTACGCGCACTTGCGGGAGCAAGTACATTGGAAGGACAGAAAGAAGGGCTTCTATCCGGTTTTCTGAACATATTCCAAGAAACCTATGCCTGAAAGGAAGTAAATATTCTCAGAGTGCAATTACCAGACATATTGTTGATACCGGACATCTCGTAGAGATTTCTAAGTCCTTCAAAATATTAAATAGACAAAGGACAGCAAATTTACTACGATTTGCCGAAGCTACATGCATACAGAAAGAGAGTGCGATTAACCTCTCACTCCCTTGGTAACTGAATTTTGATTTTGATCACAATAATTAGTCATCTAATGCAGTGGTCTCAACTCACTGAACAAATCTTAATCTCATAAACTGTCACCGCCTTTGATTTTTGAAGTTGCTATTGTGAACCTACGAGCCAAAACTGTTCTGTTTTCTGTCTTACCCCCCCCCCATCTTTCCAACTTTAAAATTGTATAAATTGATGATGAAAACTTAAATTAAAAATTGTAATGCTTTCATTCTTTTTTGGATGCGTCAATTTTACCTCTTCTCTACTACTACTCAAACATTTAAGTATGTTATTGCCATTTATATAACCATTGAAATTTCAGGTAGTCTGCAGCTGATGAGAACCTGTGAAATAGAATGATATCATTTTATACTGCAAATTCCATCTTCCTTTCTTTATCGAAATCACACAATGTTTAACACACAGTGTCAGAACAGCATGTTGTTTGCAGATTTATAAGAAGAAAGAAACTCCCATGCTGATGTTATAAATATTGATTTTACGAAAACCAAAAAAGGACTTAAAGTTAAACACCTAATTGATACTCAAAACTGATGAAGTGTTTTAAAGCGCATATTGTTCACGTTCACAGTGGATTGACTTCTTTTCTTCAGTTAAAGGGAATGAGATTGCATTGATACTGTTGGACAAGTGAACCTCTTGTTGAAGAGAAAACATTTTCATGTTCGAATTAATCAGTAGAAGCTGTGCCTTACTTTCAGGTTGGTCAGGTCTCCACAAGAAGTTATGTGATTGATGTCGATTCCTAACGTAACCTACCGCTTGATCAATTACCGCCTCCCCCCACAAAAAAAAAGTAACTCAACATTAAAATAACCAAGATTTCAGAATAAACATGAAATCAGGTTTTGCTTCTTGGTCAACTAAAAGTTCTCAAAATGACCGCTGTTAAATTGAATTACAGATAAAATGATTGTTAAAAGATATTATTTAGATGTGTTTCAAGCAAGATTATGGATAATAATTTTGTCACTTATAACAGACAACAATCAGCCAGCATAAATGGGTGAAGTATGAAAGAAGCAACCTCCTTCACCTACCCAACTACCTGAGAAGCATCGTTTCAACTACAGGCCGACGGAACTGACGAGGATTTCAAAGCGGGAATCGGAAAAGCAAGACAAGCTTTCATTACTCTCAAGTCTGTGTGGAGGCCAACAGTACTCAGCATGAAAATGAAGATGAGGTCAGGATTTTCAACTCCAATGTGAAGTCAGTGCTACTATACGGATCAGAGGCATGGCGCCGCGTCCCGATGGCCACTTCGAACAAACTACATACCTTCATCAATAGCTGTCTTCACTCAATTCCGCTCAAGATCAGATGGCCGGCCAGAAAAGATCAGCAACAGAGATCTTTGGGAGCGAACCAACCAGGAACCGATTGTGCAACAAATAAGCAGGAAGAAATGGAGGTGGATTGGATTGGCCATACTCTGAGAAAACATACCATCAAGTGACATCACTAGACAAGCCATTGCTCGAGTGGAACCCAAAAGGGAAGCGGTGAGTTGGTCGTGAGTGCAAGGGTGAGTTGGAGGCGGTCATGTGAAGAGGAGATGAAAACGTGTGGGCAGACTTGGAGCCAGGTGAAGACTCTAGAAGAGAACCGAACGCGATGGAGACGCACGGCTGACGCCCTATGTTCCTCTAGGAATTAAAGGAAACACTAATAATAATTATTATTATCAGGGAAAAGACATGATCTGATGACCCATACTCGAAGCTTGTCAGTTGCACCATACTTATAGTAAAAAATTCTACTTCACAATTTAACCTGAATAAAATTATTTGACAAATTTATTAAGGAGGAATAAAAACTGTCAGTGTTTACTCTACCTGTTCCTTTTTAACTTCATTATCTGCTCTCATTGCTTGGTACATACGTAAGAGCTCTTCTTCAGCTTGTTCTCTCTGTCTTATTTCATCTTTCATATCTACAGGGATATTTCGTATACGTCTTTGATGACATAAATAACAAAGTCCACTACTGTTTGTGTTCAATGCATGATTGCAATTTTCATCGATTTTCGGTATTCTTCTTTCTAATTCTTCAATATTATTACTTTTCATGGAGCGCACGCTAGACAGTGAAGATCTTGAATAGCTTGACCTTTTAGAAGAAATCTTTGGTGTAGAACAGTGACTAACAGACTTGGAACTTTCTTTTGTACAGTGCTCAGTGTCAGATAGGCCGCCGAGTTTAGGTAGTTCTGGTCTAATGAAATTGTTTGAAAAAGTCTCATGGTCACAGGTTACATCTGGATGTGGATCTGACATCTGAGATTTGAGATTCAATCTCTTCTCTGAAATTGACTCTTCTGTATCAGAATTACATTGAGGAGCAGATTCCACAACATCCTGGATTTGAGCAGCCTGTAATAAGATTCAGTGAATCAGTAGAAAAGTAAGTGTAGATATGTTCAGCAGGTGCTAAATAGATTTTTTTTATCGTATAATTTCAATATCACAAAAAAATTCCTCATTAGGAATCTTCTCCATTCAAAAAGCTATCGAAACTTTGATTAAGAAACAAAATAGAGAATGAATTAACTAGACGTTTGAAGAAACTAAGGGAGGAGCAGATAATTTCTGAAAGTTTATATGAAGAAATCAGACCAACGGGCACGTATACGCCAAGATTGTATGGCCTACCTAAAGTGCATAAACCAGGGGTATCATTAAGACCAATACTTGATATGCAAAATTCGCCCTACCATGCTCTAGCTAGATAGCTAGTAAATATTCTCAAACCATTGCATGAAAAGATAGTGAAATATAGCGCGTCAAAGATGTATTTGAATTCGTAGACAAAATGAAAGATATTAATATCAAGGACAAAATCATGATATCTCTGGACATAACATCGTTATTCTCAAATGTACCTCTAATAGAAACAGTTAACTATATATGTGAACAAGTGGACAAGTAGTCGATAAACCTTGGAATCCATATTGAAATCCTAAAAGAATTGATATTAAGATGTACCATGAATGTAAACTTCAAGTTTGATGGCACGCTTTACAGGCAAGTGGACGGGGTGGCAATGGGCTCCCCATTGGGTCCCATTCTGGCTGATTTTTTTCTAAGTAAGCTAGAAAATGGACCTCTGAACAACCTTATAAGAAAGCTCTCATTTTATTGCCGATATATGGATGATACCTTTATTCTTTGTGATAATGGTTCCGATAGGATTACAATAATTACTGAATTCAATGAAGTACATTCGGCTATGAAATTCACATGCGAAGAGGAATCCCAAGACAGAATTGCCTTCCTGGATGTCCTACTTACAAGAAAACCAGACGGTAGTATAAAAAGAAATTTTCATAGAAAAAGTACTTGGACGGGACAATATACACATTTTCACAGCTTCGTTCCCATCAATTACAAAAGAAATTTAGTGAAGACCCTTACCCCGGAGATAGCGCTATATGCTCTGAAGAAGTAATTAAAGATGAATTAAGCATGGAATACGATACTTTAATCGAAAATGGTTATCTTGACAAATTTATCAAGAAACATATGACAAAGAAAGCCGAAAAGGACTACCCACTATCTGTAAACAAGAAGCCACTTTATATACAACTACAATTCATGGGCGATATACCAAGTGAGATTATTACGACGAAATTAAGAAAATCAGTTCAAAGAACTTTCAATGCTGGCGAACTACACGTATTATTCTCTACACGACCGATGGTGTTACCTCGACTGAAAGATGAAGTACCTAGACTGGCCACTTCAAATCGTATTTACCAATTCAACTGCGCTTGTTGAGCGAGTTACGTTGGCCGTTGCTCTAGGAACTTGATTTTTCGTGCTCGAGAGCATATCCCACTATGGCAAAGTCAAGGTGTAGTTAAAACTATTAACAGCTCGATATCAGACCATCTGGTGCAAACCGGTCACAAAGCCAGCCAGCGTTGAAGAATCCTTCTCTATAATATATCGAGTGCCTAACAAACTACCAAAATCGTCGAAGCACCGCATGCTCCAAACGGCAGAGGCTATTGCAATTGCTCTGTGTGGGAAAGAAACAAGTCCAGCCCCTACTACTGCCCTGGCCCTCAGTAGAGACTATAAACTCATGAATTTTTAATATTTCCTTTCCTAATTCTCCTGACATTCAGTTTATGTTGATGCTGTTCAGCTGTAATATTATTAATATTATTGATTTGATGTTATTTAAACATTAATATCGTTCATAAGACTAATTCATTCATTCATTATAATGTATATATAATTGTAGAACCTGGTGATGAATTTTTCGAAAAGAGTACTCTTTGTTCCGTGTCTATTGTTTATAAATTAATTATTTTATGAGCACAGATAACATTTAGTTCTGTGCATTTAGGTATGATATTCATGTTAGATGGCTGGAGGCACTCGTCAGGAAGCCAACAAGCACAACATCTATGTCCAAGTCATCCTACCGATTACCTCGAAGCATTTAAAATCAATTCAGAGCTCACCGCGTTGTCGAGCCATCTAGCACAGTAGCTACATTGTACACCTGACTGGTAGAATTCAGTCTACGCCAAACAAAGGACTAAATGTTCAATTGAATTTTAGATTTTCCCATCGATTGATTGGACTGAAGTGCTCGGTCTCAGGTTGACATGTCGGCTTCTTGTGCAGATGCTTCGACGATGTCTTGGCATGTAATTAAAAGTTAATTGGTGGATAGTGACTAGCAGTAGAATCCAGGATGAGCATTTCGTCCTATTTGGGACTCGTCAGCTGGATGTGCCTGCATTCCGCAGTGAGTGATGATGTTCCCACTCTCTGGCGTTTGAAACTATGGGCACTGGCTTCGAGCCTCGGTAGGAACCTCATCACTCACTGCGGGATGCAGGCACATCCAGCTGACGGACGAGTCCCAAATAAGACGAAATGAGCGTTGTCTTAGATTCCACTGCTAGTTGCCATCCACCTAGAAATCTCATCATATTTCAAAGCTCCTTTTTTATAATATGATTCATACGGATCAAGAAATGCTTCTACATACTTGATTATTTTTGTAAATTCGACTGGTATGAATACAAGATGCCAAGGAATCATTGTCATCCTGAAGCTGTTCATGAACATCTCTCTTGGAAGATTTACTGTCAGAACTCATCTGACTACCTACAAGTTGACAAAATAAAGAATAGTATACATGCAAATTTACCGTCTAATATTTGGAATCACGCGGCAAATAAGTGATATTTGTTACACAGGAATATACGGTAACAGCTAGAGGTAATGGGAAATTTTTAGAAAAAAAAATACTTTCTAAGATTTGTGAAAAAAAGAAGACCCCAACTGGTTGATGTATACCGGTAAATGATAAACTGTCAGTTAGCTATTCTTTTTATTAGCTTAAAAGTGCCTGTAGCTCTCAAAAGTGATCCACAACGGAAAACACAGCGAGGCGTTTGGAGTAAACACAGGAGTCAGACCAGGCTGACTGCTTATTATCACCAATGATATTCCTAATTGTGGTGGACTGGACTGGATTATGCGTCAGACAGTGGGAAAGGAGAAGACACGGATATCCTAGACCGACGTGAAGAGCCTAGAACACCTGGATTTCGCGCGTGGATGATTTATGTTTGATGTCACACAAAATCGAAGACTTACAAGCGAAAACTGACAAACTGGTCGAAGAAGCAGCAAAGACAGGACTGACTCCAGGTGAACATAGACAAGACGGAGGTTATGAAAATAACCAACCAACAACAACAACAGCAGCAACATCCAGCGCTAATCACCATCAACGGGAGGGATTTGAAAGAGGTTACTTCATTCACTACACTTATCTAGGGAGCATTGTCTCAACTATAGGAGGAACGGACAACGATGTCAAATCGAGAATCCGAAAGGCGAGAAATACATTCATCAACCTGAAACCAATTTGGAAATCTTCCGCTGTCACTCAGCATCAACAACAAAATTCGGATTTTCAATACAAACGTCGAGTCAGTCAGTTCTTCTATACGGATCAGAAACTTGGCGGCGGGTCACAAAGAATATTTCCAACGGGTTGCAGACCTTTATCAAAAACTGTCTTCATTCTATACTCAAAATCAGATGGCCGGAAAGAACCACCAACAAGAAACTATGGGAAGAAACAAGACAAGAACCAATCGCCAAACCAACCAAATATGCAGGAGAAAGTGGAGATGGATTGGACACTCGCTGAGGAGGCCACTGGGTGATATCGCGCGTCAGGCCATCACTCGAGTGGAACCCGAAATGGAAGTGGCGAGTGTAACGTCCAAGGGTGACATGGAGGAGATAGTTTGAAGAAGAGTTGAAACAATATGGACTAACATGGATGCAAGTGAAAAGTACAGCAGAAGACAGAAGCAAGTGAAGACGTGTAGTTGAAGCCCTATGTTCCACTAGGAACCCAAGGGAACAATAATAATAATAATTTAGTATCGAAAGGCTTATTTAAAATTTCGGTTTGTGCCTAACAACTTTACTTGACCATAGAAAAGCTACACCCTTATGATCTCAATTATTTCTGTGTGAAATACAAAGTCTAAAATACAGGTAACTTACTTAAGCGCTGTTAAAAAAGAATCCTACGTGATACATGGAACGCAGGTTCAAACGGTCTAGTTAAAACTACTCTGACCTCAGTAAATAACTGAGTCAATTGAAACTCTGTCAAGGGCTTTCAACCCTCAGAGTAATTATTGTTATTCCTTTGCGTTCTGAGTGGAACATAGGGCTTGAGCAGCACACCGCCAATTCACTGTGTTCTAGGCAGTCTGTCCTAGCTGGCTCCCCAACTGCCCATCTGTTTCCTCCATCTTACCCTCGGATAGACGATTCGCTGTTTTTCAGCTTCGGTTTCACCCTAACGGCCTGGTGGGTGATATTACCCAACAGATTACTTTAACGTTGTGTTTTCTTCTTCCTTCATGGACTTTAGGAGGATCAAGGTCACATCACACTGGCTAACTGACTGAAGGAAAACATTCACCTTGTCGACAACAAAAAACATTTCTTGAGGTCTTCAGAATTTATTAACTACGCTTGTCCTAAATTCAAGTTGTCTTTGTGCAGCCAGAGATGCTAGAATTCACGCTCTGTGTATATTACGAAGCACCAAGCGTGTAGTATTGATTTTCTACTTAGTCTCGGTTTCTCCATCGATCGTTTGAATCTGGAAAAATAATTTTACTAGAAGCATAAAAACTTTTTTTAAAGTGCTTTCAGCTTCTAGAGATGTCACAAAAAAAAAAATTCAATAATTCAGAGAACAATGACCTGGTTCTTGTGACCTGAAAGCTTTCAGAGCACTAAATTCGAATAGTTTTACTAGCCAGTATAAAAGTATTGAACTTAAGTGCAGTTTTGAATGACAGATTCCAGTGACTGTTTACCTGTGACATTATCTAAAGCACTGTGAAAAAACCTGGTTGCTGCGCGTCCTCTACAGTCCTGATCTCGTCTAAACAAACTAATTTGGCCTATAGAAATCGAATTTCAAATGAATTTTCTCAATTCTAAACTTTATTACCTTTTCAAGGTCTGTGTGAGGGTGATTCAATGGCTGTAACCAGACGTTCGAGAGTTCGAAGCCTGACGGTGGATGCGTACTTACTAATGAAGAGTCCCAAACTAGGACAAAACAGCTGTCCAGTACTCCCTGCAGGTTTTCCAATTGTTCTCTAACTAATGTCATGTCATGATGAAATCCTGTAACGGACCAATAATCGAAAAAAATTGATTATTTGAAACGACCTGCTATTGTGATATATAGGTGACTTTATGAAGCCGAAATTAAGAGAACCACATTCCTCCCACTCATTCAATTCCCATTCTGTATTTATTAAAAATGATTCACAGACTTACTATTCAATATTTCTTTTCTCTATGTGTCAAACCAAATTAGGATATGTAAAGTGCTTCTTTTCTACTCAAAAAAAAATGTACACATTTGATAATAGGGAATAAAAAGACAGATGCAGCGACGAAAATTTTCTTTTCGACAAAGTCACCATCAACTAGGCTGTACATTCGTCTATTTATATCAAATGGATGGGAAAGTTCCAGAATAACTTCCGGTCAACGGTCAAATTCATAAAAATTACAATTAGGAGTTAGAATGCTATAATAAACAGGGAGGAGGGACGGATAAAACTCAAACAAAGTAGCATTATAATAACTAAGAAGATTGACATTGTGCGATTGGGGGTTAGAAATGTAGACATAACAAAAATAGACAGGATGTTTGGATAAAAACTAATGTGATGAATAACTGTTTATGCGGTTAGGGATTCAATTTGTAGAAATAGTAAAATGACAAAATAAACAGGAAGAGTGGGTATGAAAATATGGTAGTGTAAACAGGGATTAAGAAAACTTAAAATGACATGAATAAACAGGAAGTTTAGATAAGAAAGGTAATGGGATGGTCATTACTAAAAAAACATTTACCTGTTTATGATGGCCATGGCAGGGACAAGGGTCGGACGTTTTTTTTGGATACAAAGCGTGGGTTCGAGCTATTGGATAGCTAGCGCCTCAGCTATGCCCAGATGTCTTGATTTGACTCCCTTTGACAGGTTTGATTGAATCTTGTATATTACTTTGAAGGATTTTTTCGAATGGCGCTGAATGTCCTGAATTGACCAGATGTTCTGTCACTGAACCATATAGACGTTGTCGTTCTCCTTTTACTAGCCAGGCTGGATAGTGATCGCGAGCGCGTTTTTCAAGTCGGCGCATGGTACAGCCGATATACTCAGCTCCACACGAGCAAGTAAATTGGTATATGCACGTTGAGGTGGCCCAATGCGACAGCTTGTCTTTCGCGTTCTGGCTGAACAGTTTCTTGCAGGAAAACGTCAGTCGTAGGCTCGCGGCAAAGTATGTTTTCCTCATACATTTGGAGAGGCGTTTGCGAATTCATTATTCATGACATTAGTTTTTTATCCAAACATCCTGTCTATTTTGTTATTTCTACATTTCTAACTCCCAATTGCACAATATGTCAATCTTCTTAGTTATTATAATGCTACTTTGTTTGAGTTTTATCCGTCCCTCCTCCCTGTTTATTATGGCATTCTAATTCCTAATTGTAATTTTTAATAATTTGACCCTTAACCGGAAATTATTCTGGAACTTTCCCATCCATTTGATATAAATAGACGAATGTACAGCCTAGATGATGACTTCGTCGAAAAGAAACTTTTCTTCACTGCAACTGTCTGTTTTGCATTATCCATAACTAATCTTGATGTACTGTTCTAACGTAGTTATTATAAGAGGCAGTTTTTCTCTAAAATCCAACAGTCCTGAAGATAAATAAATAAATAAAAGCTTTCCTTTCAGTTTCAAAACGAAGTATTCAAACGACAGAGCACAAAAAAAACATATTCACCCCATATACACAATTTTTTCATCAGAGATGGCTTTCAAATGTTTTACCTAGAGAACATACTAACCTTGTCTTCTTGACAGCTGTCTGTTTTCATTGATAATAGGCATACAAGAGGGAGGTGCTTCGTTTTCATCAATGGTAGCTAACCTGATTTCAAAAAAATGAAAAAGGATTTAAGGCTTGAGTAATAAACAGAGATGACAGGCATAAACCTGTTATACATAACAGAGGATTTCTAGGTACACTACTGCTGTAACAGCCCATGTGAAGATTGGCTAGCTACTATACTACCCTGATGATTCAACCGCATTTGTATTTACCTACCAGAGTACTGTTATTGAACCAACCGGTTGTTTTCATTCCCTGACCATTTTTGGAAAGATAACATTGAAGTTTAAATAAGTAGGATATTATTTATTTTTTTTATATTTTGATTTACAGCTTGATTCCACGCCGTATTTTCAGTACAAGTATGGAATTTTCAGCATGGATATCGGTAGCCCAAATTCAGGCCGACCATAGATATCGGGTGTGTGTCGGCAGGGGATCGACCCCCGGACCATGTGCATGGTTGGCGAAAGTCCTAACCACTGTGCCACCGACGCACACTACTACTACTAGGACTACGACTATGACTACTACTACTACTTTTTGCAAACGCTGAAATATGTTCTGTGTTTTCTACAACAGAATGCATATCCTAAATCCGTAGCTATCGAGTCACCTGACAACTCCAGTAGGTCGAATAAAGCAGCTCAATATTCAGAAAGAAGACAAAGCAATCAGTCCGACAGGGTGCTTCCACTAAACTCTAATCCTAAACACCATAATTCTGAAAATACGTCTAATCATAAAATTCTAGATACTAACAGTTTGAACAGACATGAAGGCGTGATGTTAGCTGATGCATAGGAAATCCTGATTAATAAATAAAAAATGGAAATGTATCACTAATCGGTCAAAAATTCCCGACTGTCCATACCTTCTTATGGAAACGTTAAGAAATGTTTTACAACTGTTTACCCCCCCCCCACACACACACACACATACACACTCAGTTTGAAGTGTTGAACAAAGGTAGACCAATATTTGTAAGTCCGAGGTCAAATTTTGATCACAGCTCATAAAATTTTGTTTATTATACTTGTTGAATGACTCATGATTGGACAAAGTTTTTAAAAACAAGAGATGTCGCCCATTTTATATATAAACCTCTGTTATCTTAATTTCGATTAATTTCCCTGAAGAAGTTCAGACCAGATTGCCGAACACAAGAAACGTTGGAATTACTCATTTCAATCTTACTGAGGTTTTACACAGATATAATTTTTTACAAAATATCTCACATAGTTTGAAATTTTGACAGCCATTTATCGTTTGGACTAACCTTAATGTGCTTTTTTTCGACAGTGTAAGGTTACTGATATTCAACAAACTAAACTGTACGCAAAATAAATACTACTTCCAATGTACTTCGTACTACATAAAATTCATGATATTTTCTTTCATCGCCTAATTTTCCAACACCACGAGAAACAGAAGATCTTAAAAAATTAAGTTGAAGTGTACAGATATTACAGAAAGACAAATAAACTCACTGTTGCAAAGATTTTATGGACTTGTAGCTTCTGTTACTCAGTCCAGATCTGTCAGTTGTTATACAGTCTGAAGATTCTGGTCGCTAAAACCATACACAATTTTAATTCAGTACTATATAATTTATAACGTAAATAAAAATTCATATTTATACTAAAGCTTTTCGATGTTGAAATACATACTACGATTAAAAAGCAAAACTCGAAACTGACTGCCCCTAATTAACTACTCATCGAAACCGAGTTGATGAACACTCCCGATGGACAAGAACAAAAATCCAATTATCAGACTACTGGTTAGCACAAAATCTCAAGAGGACTGTGTTAGAACCAATAATTATTAGGGGTGTATAGAACACATGGTGCCGATAAAGTCCACCAGGAAAATTTAGATCTATTTCTCCCTCAGTGGAATATCTGATTATATTATTATTGTTTCCTTTAATTCCTAGAGGAACATACGGCTTCAGCCGTGCGTTTCAATTACGTTCGGTTCTCTGTTAGAGTCTTCACCTGGCTCCAAGTCTTCCCACACGTTTTCATCTCCTCTTCACATCACCTCCTCCAAGTCACCCTTGCACTGACGACCAACTCGCCGCTTCCCATTCGGGTTCCACTCGAGCGATGACCTGTCTAGTGATGTCACTTGATGGTTTCTTTGCTCAGAGTATGGCCAATCCATCTCCATTTCTTCCTGCCTATTTGTTTCAAAATCGGTTCCTGGTTGGTTCACTCCCAAAGATCTCTGTTACTGATCTTTTCCGACCGGCCATCTGATCTTGAGTGGTATTGAGCGAAGGCAACTGTCAATGAAGGCCTGTAGTTTGTTTGAGATACTCTTCATGACGTGCAATGCAAGTCTCTGATCCGTATAGTAGCACCGACTTCACATTGGAGTTGAAAATCCGGACCCCATTTTTGATGCTGAGTAGTGCTGTTGACCTCCACACAGACTTGAGAGTAGTGAAAGCTTGTCTTGCTTTTCCGATTCTTGCTTTGATATCCTCGTCAGCTCCGCTCGCCTGTAGTTGAAACGATGCCTCCTAGGTAGGTAAAAGAAGAATATCTGAAACTACTCGAAAATAAACAATGTTAGCAAATCCCACAGAAGCTCTTCTGTCAAATAACTGTGGTGGCTACCACTTTGGTAACACGCAAAATTAATTTTCCATAGATTCAATAATCCGAAATCTTCACAATAATATTTCTATCAATAATACATAAAAAGGCTGTGCCCAAGTCATTATCGACTGTTTTTTACGGTAAGTCCTCATTCTTTTAAAACACCCCAGTTGTTATTAACAAAATCCCTACAAAACCAATACTTGAAAATTAATCTGATGCTCACTAGTGACTGGCCCTATTCAGGCAGTTAACCTGTGGTTCTGGTGGGAAGCCGCGACCGGTAGGGTACAGCAGGTTGAAGATGAGGCAGTAACTCATCGAAGAAGACATTGAGAAAGGGTCGCGCTCTGTCGTGAATTGGCAGAAGTTAGAATTCAAGGACCACTGGATCGGGTCCCACTGGCTCAATGGTCTACGAGCTAGCTCGCCTTGTAACCGGAAGGTTCTGGGTTTGAACCCTGACAGTGGGTGCGTACTGATGAAGAGCTGGTCCCAAACTAGGGCGAAACAACTTTCCAGTACTCCATGCAGGTTTTCCATTGTTTCTCTAACTGATGCCAGCTCATATGATGAAATCCTCTATGCAATATTAATAAATTCGCTATTGTTCGTCTTCTACGACCACTTTTGAAAATAATAACTTGACACCATAACAATTTCCTGGTATGCACTGGTAAACTGAAGTAACTAAAAACACGGACGCTTAAATTCAATGGAAATTCACTGTCCAGTTAGATGTTATTGCTTAAACCGTATTTTACAACATCACAACAGTGTTGATATTAGATGGTTGGAGGCAATCGGCAGGAAGCCTTGGACCTAGGTTTCGTTCTAGTTGGCACTCGTCGGCAAGGCGTATCTGCAACCTTGAAGGAACTGATGTCCCTTCTGAGATTCGAACCCGCGTCACCGAGTGCTGCAGTCAGAGACGTTACCACTGAGAGGACACACTGAGCACCAAAGAGAGGACTAGACGCACCACACTAGTTACTAGTGTCAAATCAAAATATCACTACAGTGTCTTCTATTATACGAGTATTAGTCATACCTGTCAAAAAGACATGTGAAACTAATAAAAATAGTGGGGAAAATACCATTACAGATATGTTGACTTCATCACTTAAATCTCCATCTTGAAGTTTTCAAGGTATATATATATATATATATATATTGTAACAACAGAAGGCAAGACATGGAAGCCAAGGTTTATTTTCAAGTGATCAAACCGCTATTTACTTATATTTTGAAATTACATTGGGAGATATAAGACTGATAAGTAAACAAACTACATTGAATTAGTCATGCAGAAAGACAGGTGCGAACGTTTTCCGGTTCATGTTCAAATAGATAAGGGGAGAGAGAGAGAGTATGAGAGATCAAAATTAAGATAAAATGCATTACGCTACAATTACATCACTGAGATAAACAACTAGTCATTAGAGAATATATCAAAAATTGCAACCAGAGTGATATCAATAGTAATAGTTATAATAACAATAATAATAATAATGTTGAAGTGAGTTAAAATAATCCTACTGATAAAGGATAGTTTTAAATGAATCAAGAATGATAATAATAATAAGAGGTAGAATAATGAGTGAAACGTATCACCATGGTAGATTCAGAGTGACGACCATCTCCTTTTGTACACAGAGACCTGATTTATAAACTCGAATTACACAAGCCTCCTCCGCAATTGCAAGCATCCTCCTGTTTCTTTGTCTGCTGACAATAACAGTGAATGACTTGACAGCATCGATATCATGTCTATAGTCCACAAGATGTTTTGTTATTGCGGATTTTGACACTTTGCACTCAGCTGTTTTCAACCATTTTGGCAAATGCTCCATCATGCGAGTAGACAATAATCGCCTTTCTGTACGACCTATGTATTTACTACCACAAACACACTCAAACTGATATACGCAGTTTGAAGTGTCGAGGATTGGCGACTGGTATTTATTAATATATACTCTAAAGAAATGAGCCCCTGCAAAACTATCCAAACAGTTCCGGGTAAATCTGTCTGCATCACTTTGCCATTCAAAGGAGGAGATGTACAGGAAGTAGTCAAACGAAGAATCGATAAAGCTATCAAGAGAACTTATTATGCTGCAAAACTTGTGTTCCTTAACAATACCAAGCAAGTGCTTCAACAATCTGAAAAAGACCAGACTGTCGATATTACTATGTTTGCAGTTCTCGATATATTCTCTAATGACTAATTGTTTATCTCAGTGATGTAATTGTAGCGTAATGCATTTTATCTTAATTTTGATCTCTCGTACTCTCTCTCTCTCTTCCCTTATCTATTTGAGCATGAACCGGAAAACGTTCGCACCTGTCTTTCTGCATGACTAATTCAATGTAGTTTATTTTCTCGCTTATCAGTCTTATATCTCCCAATGTAATTTCAAAAGTATATATATCCGTGTATGTAGAGTATTCAGCTGACGATTTCTACCGTAATTTGATGAATCCATCATCAAATCATCCTGCTTTATTAATCTTTGTTGCTTGTATTAAATTCGTATCGGGAAATAAATGTTTTCACTATTTATATATGCACAGTTTTATATTCTTTAACCAATCCCTGAACGTGTGATTTCGGCTTACACTAAACGACATGAAATAGAATGTTCAAATATGCATATATATTATTCTGTTGCTAATGCTGTATTGAACTGTGGGAATATGTAAGGATAATATTCCATTGGAACACGTTGTCTGTATCACACACCACCACAATATGTATATATAGAACAGGGATAAAAACACCTAGCAGTATTTATAGCAATATTTATCTGGCTAAGATGTCAGCAGAAAGTTTTGAAGAGTGGAGTTTTTTATCCCTTCAGAATTTCTTAGGTTGTATTTTGGTAAAAACATTACCAATACCTACACCTTAAACTACGGATGCCTGACTGTCATAATTTACACGACTGTTGTGATTGTGTTAATCCACACGGAACATCACAAAGCAGTTCTTATTACCAGGTCAATCTGAACTCAACCGTAAAAGAATATGAGTTGACTTTACAAAATTAAATTCAACATTTTAGGCTGAAATTTTATACTTACTACACGACTAAAACCAAAATTGGACTGAATATAATCAAGCATTTATAAACAATTGTTTCATAATGAGCTGACATTGGTTAGAGAGAGTACCACTGAAAAACTGCAGGGAGTACTGGACGGCTGCTTCGTCCTAGTTTGGGACTCTTCCCAGTACGCACCCACCGGGATTCGAACCCAGAACCTTCTGGTTACAAGGCTAGGGAGCTCGTAGACCATTGAGCCACTGGGACCCACCCGATCCAATGGTCCTTGAATTCTAACTTCTGCCAATTCACGATATAGCGCAACCGCTAGCCAATGTCTTCGGCGAGTATTTGCCCTCACACCCGACCTGCTGCACCCTACTGGTCACGACTTCCCACAAATACTCGCCGAAGACATTGGTTAGCGGTTGCGCTATATCGTGAATTGGCAGAAGTTAGAATTCATGGGCCATCGGATCGGTTCCTAGTGGCTGAATGGTATACGAGCTCGCCGTGTAACCAGTAGGCCCTGGGTTCGAACCCCGGTGGGTGCGTACTGTGAAGAGTCCCAAACTAGGACAACGGAAACAGCTGTCCATTACTCCCTGCAGGTTTTCCAATGGTTCTCTAACCAATGTCAGCTCATGATGAAATCATGTAACCAATCAACCAAATCCCTACAAACCAATACTTGAATTGTTTCATAATTTATTTAACTTTTCATTTTGCAGACGTCTACTGCTTTCAGCCATGAAATTAATCAAAAGATGGTGGTTAAAATCTTTTTTTAGCTGCTTCATTTGTACGTGACTTCTCGAATGTCGTATAAATACTAATGTGCAGTTAAGAATCTACACAGTTTTTTTATGTATTTCTGGGTAAGAGAAGCTTTTTTGCGTGTATACCAAGTGAATAAAAAGGTCTTTGGTTAATTGTTATCTCATAAAACAACTGTAGTTTAGACTTACATTGCAGTATGTTTGTGCTAATTTCCCACTACTATCAAGCTCACTTAAAAAATTATTAAAGAAGCAAAATTTCGCCTTTCGCTTGTTTATACGTAATTTCCCAATGTCGTTAAATACAATTTCCACAAATTTATCATGATATAGATATTGATTTAACGTGGTATAAACGTTTTGTATACATTCTTCAATTTGTTCTCTAGGTATTGATATTTCTGCGCTCAACTCACTATAATTCAATAGGACTAGTGGAATCGATCCTTAGGTTAAGAAAGAAAATAATGTCAGGGTAAAATACAAATTAGTGGTTTTAATTTCTAAAACTGTTGCACATAATAAGATAAATACTGAAATTACGGAAATGCATAACATCTTAGTTAACTATGCTAAATAAAAACTCTACTACTTGCAATTCTGAAATTTGAAAATGAGTTGTGATGAAAACTTGTCACTTGTGAAGCCACAGCGCTTACGATTGTCTTATTATTATTATTCTAATGGATTCCGAGTGCAACATAGGGCTTCAACAGCACACCTACATTTTGCCCTGTTCGCTGCAGCCATCTTCAGGTGGCCGCACCATTGCCCATAAGCTTCCATATCCTACTCGAACGATCTCCTCCATTGTCACTCTCAGACATCCAACTCGTCGTTCTCCACTTGTGTTCCACTTGAGGGCTTGGCGTGCTATGTCACCCTATGATCTCCTCTGCTTATGATTCTAATATTGATTTTTTTAATTTTCGGTTTCATCTACGGTGAAGACATTTTATGTTATGTGGCGAAATGTGTCAGTTAAAATTTCATTCACCACGGCAGTTTCAGCTACTGTAAAGGTAGCAAAAATGAATTAGTTATGTTTGTGGAACAACAAATAAACGCTGACAGCAGTTGGTGCTAGATTTATAGCTCAATGACTTAAAGTGATGCAGTGGAGGAAGAATTCAAAGTCTCCACTGAAAATGGCCACACAAACTTTACAAAGTAATGCACTTGAGGACAGTGAGTCATGTTTACTCTGCTTTGTAAAAGTAGTCAAAAACATCTCTTTTTCAATAACTGTGCACACCTCACGTTATAATAATGCCAAGTATATATTTTCCAGCGTCAATAACTACGCGAAATTCACATAATAGGGAATTGCATTGACAAAAGCCTTTTTCTAAGCTTCGTATTACATTTGACAGTATAAACCACTTAATTTCCAATTATAAAGTGGTTATTTCACCATTCTCCGCTGACTGCTGTAGATTTCATGTCCATCAACTTTAAGAAAATTTAAGCAAATTATCTAGTGCTCTATCTTCTACTCATGAATACATGACTTCGGTTAATTAGGCCAGTAAACACTTGCGTTAAAAAGAAACCTCTCTGTGTTCCGAATGTTTGAAAATATTTTGCAATTTTAGCATTTGTAAGTCAGATTGTATTTACACAGTATAATTCAGTCAACAGGAGAGAGGTTTAGAATCATGATTCTCGGGTAACTAATAAATGGTTATATAGCTGTACCATGGTTGAAAACTAAGGAATTATATTTAGATTACAACTTTTTATCGTTGTCAACTTTATTCGTTTCCAAGCAATGAAATCCTTGAAATGCTAAAAACCAACTCTTGGAAACTTTTGGTGATATGCCTTGAAACCTTCAGTAATGGTACAGATGTATCCAATCACTAGCACATTCGAAACTCCAAAAATCTCCACTAATCGTCACTTAATTATCTTATAGTATGTCTTCTTTTGTTTTGGTTTCACCACTTTTTTCCTACTTATATACGTTCTTCTTCAGAACCTGAAAACTTGAACCATTGCAATTTTGCTTTGGCTCTCGTGTTAATAAGCCAGTGAGTCGGTAAAACATATAACTGTTTAGTAATCTTTTAAAGGGAATTAAACCATTTTATGACACAATAAAATGACAGCTCTGAAATGGCCTTTCGCGATGCATGTTATTATTTAAATAAAATATGCTCACTCCTCTCAACCTTTATTCATCAGTTATGAGGATTTGGGCATCTGGAATCCACTTGGTTGTTTCACCTCTAAACGTCATAGGCAAAACGCAACCAATATTCTAGATAATTCTGAATGACCATAGTAATATTAGCAGGCAAATTTCACGTTTCAATGACAAAGCCACTACTTGTAGGCAACACACAGAAACGAAGCTGTGGCTAAAGCATTTCAGATAATATGGTCACTTTGCAGACGTAAACAAGTCTATCATACTACATACTACTTATGTATATGGTTAGCTATAATACTGCATACTAACAGATAGTACTTAATTGAAGATTGGAAAAAATGTCCTAGTACAAGCACACAGGTTTGATGCTAATCTATTTGAAAGATTTTCTTTCCTATCACATGAAAATCGACTAAGACGTTCAATAGACTTATGGTAGTCATCATAGCCCTAACCTTGGTTTTCCATGCAACACATCAAACATGCAACCAGAATCAGATCTAACTGATCATTTTACCCTCTTTAAGACTAGTTATATGCATCAAAGAATGGCTTAAAATCTAGGTGTCTCCAATTCATCAAAATATCCATTTTTATCTATCAAACAAACAGTGAAATCCTCGATTGTAATGATAAAAGTAAATAGCAACACTGATAACTACATGTTGTTGTTCTGTTCATTTTTATCGAGAGAAATAACTGTATGAAACTTTCACATATTTTGTATTTTACCTTCAATGATGTGTCTTCTCTGTATGATTTCATGTGATTGACAAATTTTCTCTGAAAGTACAAATACTGGTTTCTGAACATTAACATAGACCCCATTCGTTAGCATCAATTCTCGGTGTGTAAATCCAAAGGTACCAATGTTTGAAAACTTAACAGACTTTGAGATTTTATTCGAAAATATTTTAAAAAAATTACTTTTTGCATTAGAAGCTTTTTCTTCAAGTATGTACAAACATGCTGCCAAATTTCTTGATCTTACCAACATATTTTCACAATTTTTGTCTTACCTCTTATGAACACTAGTGGTTGACATTCGTCCAACATATCTGAATTAATTTAGTGCCCTCATCCGTTGTGACACTAAAAGGTGAAGGTCATGCAGCTTATAAGTAAAAACAAAAAGTTAATAATATCAGATATCCTTTCGAGAGCTAGTGCTAATTCTTTGCCGCCGTTGACGTTTATTCATCTTCATTAGGTCGCTTCTTGATCAGTCCTTCTTCCTCTATCTATGGTCGGCCTGAAATTTGGGCTACCGATATCCACGCTGAAAATTCCAACTTGTACTGAACATCTTCTGTTGTTACTTTTATTGCCTACCAGCTCTAATTCAGTATCAACTAAGACAATGGCGCTCTTAAGGTAAGTAATTTTACAGGATTATTGAATTACACTATTCTTCACTCAACACTGGATGCTGATCTTACTGTCCAAATCGTCTTTTCAGACTAAATGTAAAAGTTCCAGCTTCCATTTGAAACTCTGTCATGTTACTTGAGGTCGTCCATTCACCATCTCTAGTTAGTTAAGCGATCACCACAGCTCTACGTTTCTGATCAAGAAATAAATCTCGTCTCCTGGACAGTAAATTTGTTGTTTTTACTTATCTTTGATCTAAGAAGTGTAAGTAATTTGGGATCTGAGGGATTGACACTTGAGTTTGTACACAGCGTATCTTGCGCAACAGCCTGCAGGCTTCATCTCTCAAAGCGCCACTGAAATCAAAGTCAGTCGTTCCAGTGTTTGTCCGTATCTGTACAGTGTTTCAGGAAAAATTAGAACAATAAATAAAACAGCCTCTGCTTCCTCAACATCCGACACTGGGTGCTGACCACTACTGACCTGTTGCTTGGGTTCGACTACTGGGTTGCCGTAAAGCGCTCACACCTTCTGGTACCCTGAAGTGTTACATTCCGTTGTTCATTCATGGACCAACAAAAAGCACATCTGTATTGCGGGTTGATATACGCATACTGCAATCACTATGGTAATGTTTACTCTCCTAAAATAAGTTCGGGTTGACCACAACGTTACTAGTTAGAAGGGTCGGTGTTCCACAAAAATTCAGAAACGTTAAGAAACAAGTGCACCAGTAGTCCTGCACCCGTAGGGACTAAGTATTAACCTTTCTTTGCTTTAAATTTTTATACTCTTAGCTTGGATACCTTGTATGTCCCCTCTCTGCATAGTTCAATTCCACCCTTTTCTGTCCGTAGGTTGAAAACAACATTGCTTTCCTGAACTAGGTATTATGTAGTCAGCCAAGATTCGGAAGACCTGAAGGGAGGATTGGATGCAACATCAAATATGTTGCTGATTACGTTATCGTATTCGCAGTTTGATGATGGTGGTCGGTATACACAACCTATGAGGATAGGTTTACTTCTGAGAACTTTTATTTCGACCCACACCGAGTCATAAGGTTTTGACAGAATAGGGTGATTAAAATGGTCTGGGGTATTACTGTATTACTGTTGGGATTAGGTGTGTACAAGGTGTTTGCTATCTGCCGGGGAAGAATCAGTTTCCGTGTTGTAAGGTGTTCGCTATACCAGCAAGGAATTGGTCTGATATCATGCGTGCTACGTGCATGATCCCTGGCGTTCCTGCCAGTTGTCACTGGAGAAAATTTTGGTCATATGAGTTAGCTAGAGCAGTGTTATCTGCATAGTTATAACTGAAATGTGTGATCGGCGTGTTGTTGTGTGCATATGGTTTAGATCCCTGTGTCTGGTAAAAGTACTTCCTAGGCCATGATGAACATTGTGCTGCAATTGGCATTTGCCCCTTACTGAATGCATGAAAAGTATGACAGGGCACTATACGTGTTTTTCACCTAGTGTCTGTATTCTCAGACTGGTGTTCCCTGTACATCATAGCTGAGGGGCTGAGTAACTCCGTGTTTTCGAAGTGGTTGAGTAGATATGTGACGATTGTATTTTGTTGTCATAGGACTGGTGGGAGAGTGGTAGTGGGAAATGAGTAAGCTCCTATGGTGTATGAATTATGTCTAACTTGAGTAACATGACTAAGTTTAGACGACTGTCCATCATTAGAATGAAACGGTGACCCTTTTGAAACTTTCGCACTTGTGGGCCTTAGTATTCCGGATCTAGCGTTTGGTTTAGGTTTTTCCGTATTAGTCGGCCTGAGTAATTCGGGCTGCTGGTGACTAGTAGGATTACCTGATAAACTGGATTTCTGTTGAATAGTTCAACAGTTCTGTTGGTGTTCCATACGGAAATAGGACGTCTATCATATCGCCTTGAATTTACGCTAACCTGGGTGGCCACATGTGATTGCTGCTTCACAGTAGCCGGGCTACGAGGTTGTGCGGTATATGACTTCTGGGGAGATTCAGAGTATATAACTAAATTCAGCTTAGACGTTTTCGAGGGTATGGCATTCGTTTCAGTGTGCAAGGGATGCACGTCAATACTATGATCTGCTGACATTTCTATGTCTGCGATTTCAGTATTTAGAACTGAGTCTTCAACAGTTACTTGATTACCATCAGTTTGTGCATGCGATATTACCTGGTGCTCTTGGTCATTAGGCAATCCAACGAGGGAGGTATTAACAACGGCTGTCTTATTGGGGTTATGTTCATTTAGTTTTCCTGCGCGGCATCGTCTTTGGAAGAAGTTAAATCAGGTGCAATCCTGATATTGGTGTAGGGTGTTGAGGAGCCGAGAATTTTACCAGACTCCAAAAATTTCTTGATTAGGTCAACAGACTTAAATTTGAAGAGTACAGGGCATGGGTGTTTTGCAGATTTGTTACGAAGACGCAGAACCTGGCAGTCAGACAGTGAAATGTTGCACGCCTGTAGACAGACTGCTTTAAGTTTGGCAACAGGGACATTGTCCGGTATGTTATATCCTAAGACATTATATGACGACATCACCCTCTTTACAGCCTCTGCAGTCAGAGAGTCGAGCAGGCGCTCAGATTTGAGAAGTGAATCTAAGCAAATTTCTTGTGATGGACCACAAAGTTGGATGAGAGGAGTGATACTTTCAAATTTATCCTGCAGGTCTGATATGGATTTCTGAAGGATCTGTAAATCACTAGTGTTACGGGCTACATTATCAGTTAGTTCTTCCATTAGGTTTGGTACTATGACTCTCGATGTACCGATTGATCTTAGCGCAAATTCGTCGTCAGCACCAATGTTTCTAGTGATCTGCTGACTATTTGGTGCTAGTCTCTTAGCAGTACTAACTCGTTTAATAACTTTGACCATTATGGAGGCAAAGATAATATCAATTTCTCAAAAACTGATAAAAGTGTGTGAAATGCTGTTATATTATCTAAACAGATAAAACAGCAATAAACAGGTATGAATGTATAAAATACAAACTAAAAATAGAACACTTTCAAACGAGTTAACTTTGATAGTTATAGACCACAAAACTTAGGACTTCTCTATAGTTCTTTTGTGATAGATTGCTCTTTATTCACACGAATTTAACTGGATCCAAACAGTATTCTGGCTGTGATAAATTTCGAAATTTAGCTACCGGAGGTGTAACCAATATCAGTTATAATTGTATAGTAGTCAATATAACACAATTAGAATGGGAAAAATCATTCCCACGTTATTTGGAGGGAATGTAACGTCCTACACGAAGCGCGCGGGAATTTGGTGGTTTGTCGGTTGTTATTCTAGATCAAACGAAGGGGTGCTGAGGGCTTCTGTGGTGTATAATTCAGGAACTTCCCCTGATTAAATTAAACAAACCTAGCTAAGACTTCCATGACTCGTATGGGGAAACCGCTCACCAAGTCTGTGTTTTGCTGTGAGGCGTGCAATCGTTTTGCCAGATGGTAATGTCCCGCATTGCCCTGTTTATTGCTCTATCAAAGACCAAAGTGGATGCTTCAGCGGATTTCGGAAAATAAAATACAATCTACTCAGGCTTTTTGAAATATTGGACCCTTGGTTCATAGGCTCTCTTTCCGGGGTTCGCCAGGAGTTCCTAGACTGGATTTGCCCGAAATTTCCCCCGACGGTTCTTCACTTCTGTATTTCGTATGCCTTTCACCACTTCCTTGCTTCCTCGACAACCGTCGCTAGTACCACAGCCTGAAGCGTATGTTGGACTTCTCCTTTATAAGAGGAGGCTCGTTTCATTTGGTGTATAAACACTAGATGGACGTTGTATGAATTGACTATCTGTGTGGTTTCACTCGAACCATCTGGACTCCGTCAACCGGCAGCGACGTAGTTGTATGTGTGTAATGCAGCCTCAGATAGAGGTTACCTCATCTTTGAGCTGTCGGTCCCGTTGTAATACAGACTGAGATGAGAACATCCTACTTTTTGAAGCCACCGATTACAAGATCAGTCTTCATGATCACGTGATAGTTGATAATTGGAGCAGTTTTTGCTAGGACGTTATGTGTTGTAAAATTGTCTCTCCTCAAAATATAGTTCACTTGTTGTAGATTACCCCGAAGACCTAACCTGTTGGCATCATGTTTCTTTGCCAATCCGTCCGACTCTGAATGTTGCGTGGCGGATTTCATTCAAAATTGCCATTGGCACTCCTTGCTTCTAAGGTGAGAAATGGCACGTTGAAGACGCTTGTATATAACCTAGATTGCTTACTATCACAAAAGTGCTAACTGATGACTGGTTTGACTGTACTGCTCATGATGGCGATCTACATATGCCACCTAGTATGTTTACTCTCCCGCCGGCATTGAGTAGGTATCAAAGTGAGTCTAATGCTTCAGTGAGTGTTGTATATCCTGTCCATACTCACCTCAGTAGCTCACCGATATCTGAAAACTACACCTACCTCCTTATGACTTCTATTTCTCCTAACCAGAATCACGTCAATTAAACTGACTCCATGCGTAGGAACAGCAAATGTTGACCATATTTCCACTGATATGATAATCGCTGGATTCAAATGGGAGTTTAGGTGTCTGTTTCGGTATCTGAGAGACCATCTCAAATCAGCCTTACTCTTAACTAAGAGGGTATCCACCAACGAAATTGATGGTTAAAATCGACACCTATACTATTCACACAG